TGTCCATCCAGACTTTTGTACATGTTTTTTGTGTCTGTTATTGCTTTATTTTGTGCTTACACTCATTCTTTTTCAGTTTTGGGCAAAATTTGCGAGGGTTGGAATTGCCCAAAAATCGGTGACATTGCCCCTTTAACTAAATTTGACGGTTTGGTTTTGTTTGCTTGCGCGTGCATGATTGCGCACGTTGTTCGATTGCACGCGAATGTATTTTCCCGCCAGAAATTGTTTTTGATGGATCCATAACTTTTATGACATTCAGTATATATTTCATAATTTCCAGTCTTAAATCCGTCTGACCGTGTAGCTCAGTAGGTAGAGCGTCGATCTAGTAATTCGAAGGTCGCGGGTTCGAGACCCAGCCGCGGCAGACAACATCTTTCTGCTTGCGCTGGGTATGGAAATTATATAATACACACTCTAGAACATTTTCATATATATATATATATATATATATATATATATATACAAGTATCGAGTTTGGAATCATATATGAGTAGAGTGCTCAATACCGTAGTGGAGCTGATAAGATTAGAAGACAAACTTGAATTACTTCATATAAACTTTATTTCACTACAAATTTGTTTCGTATGACAAGACGAGTCTTCCCACACTCATCAGGTGAATTTAAATAACGCGCTATGTTGTTGCCTAGGATATACAATGTACATGTTTGAGGTCAAAAGTGTTATATTACAGTGTTATTTATAATCTATTTATTGCTCAACAGGAATTTGTTCCGGTGTCTACATTTTGACAATAGTTCATTTCTAGAGTTCAAGGAGCTGAGTTTAGGATAATAAATAATTAGAAATTTTTCGTGCAGGCATAAGTTGCATCGTTTGGATTGGTTTGAGTAGCTTTTACACTTTTTCATAATTCTCCATTTAATGGAGTATTTTACGCTAGACTCTTTCAAATGCCAGACATAGTTACTTAGTTCAGTGGCATGTTTGTATCTGGAGTTTCTGAAGGAACTCGTGTGACCATTGTACCTTGTTTTGAATTCCCCTTCTGTGTGTCTTACATAGGTCTTTTCCTCTTTTGTATCGTTTCTAGTCACAGTTGCTTGATAAACAATGCCGCTTGTTAAGCATTTACTGGAGAGAGGACAGGAATCTTTCTTACGGCAATTGCACTCACTACTCTTTTCAGACGTTTGATTCTTAGTTGTTTCAGTTTTGTCTTGTTTGTTGAGTATTTTCTTGTTAGAATCAACTCCCAAATCCTAAAATATACCAACCTGAACCAATGGAAGAATACCGACTCTGTTATCACATGGTTCAAAAACATGCCAAATAAATCCACCCGATCTTTCATAACCTTCGATGTAGTAGATTTCTACCCATCTATTTCTGAAGAATTACTCAATGAAGCCATAACGTTCGCTTCGCAATACGATACTATAACCGACAACGAGAAAAAGATCATCATGCAAGCAAAACGATCACTACTTTTTAGCAGAAATACAACTTGGTGCAAGAAAACGACAAAATCACTCTTTGACGTTACAATGGGAAGCTTTGATGGTGCCGAAACATGTGAGTTAGTAGGCTCATATCTGCTGTCAAAGCTTGCACCAAAGTACGGCAATGATATCGGCCTCTATAGAGATGACGGTCTTGCAGCATTTAACAAAACACCGAGAGAAACAGAGAACATCAAAAAACACATTTGCAAAGTATTCAGTGATCACAACCTAAAACTTACTATCGAAGCAAACAAGAAATGCGTCAACTACCTAGACATCACACTTGACCTACGATCCGCATCATACAAGCCTTACATGAAACCCGGAAACACACCGCAATACGTAAACCGCGAAAGTAACCACCCACCATCAATATTACGATCAATACCGCAAGCAATAAACAATAGACTATCCAACATATCATCCGATAAGTAATCATTTGATTCCGCCATTCCCCCATATCAAGAAGCACTACTGAAAAAAGCGGCTACGACTACAAGCTTGATTACAATCCCCAACCACCCAAACCTAAACGATCTAGAAGCAGAAATATAATATGGTTCAACCCCCCATACAACTCCAATATCATCACTAACATTGGATACAAGTGTCTTCAAGCTATCGACGATTCCTTTCCTCCTAACCACCCTCTACACAAGATAATTAATCGAAACACTTTGAAATTAAGCTACAGCTGCATGCCTAACGTTCATTGTATTGTCTCTGGTCATAACAAGAAAATACTCAACAAACAAGACAAAACTGAAACAACTAAGAATCAAACGTCTGAAAAGAGTAGTGAGTGCAATTGCCGTAAGAAAGATTCCTTTCCTCTCTCCAGTAAATGCTTAACAAGCAGCATTGTTTTTCAAGCAACTGTGACTAGAAACGATACAAAAGAGGAATAGACCTATGTAGGACACACAGAAGGGGAATTCAAAACAAGGTACAATGGTCACACGAGTTCCTTCAGAAACTCCAGATACAAACATGCCACTGAACTAAGTAAATATGTCTGGCATTTGAAAGAGTCTAGCGTAATATACTCCATTAAATGGAGAATTATGAAAAAGTGTAAAAGCTGCTCAAACAAAACCAAACGATGCAACTTATGCCTGCACGAAAAATTTCTAATTATTTATTATCCTAAACTCAGCTCCTTGAACTCTAGAAATGAACTATTGTCAAAATGTAGACACCGGAACAAATTCCTGTTGAGCAATAAATAGATTATAAATAACACTGTAATATAACACTTTTGACCTCAAACATGTACATTGTATATCCTAGGCAACAACATAGCGCGTTATTTAAATTCACCTGATGAGTGTGGCAAGACTCGTCTTGTCATACGAAACAAATTTGTAGTAAATAAAGTTTATATGAAGTAATTCAAGTTTGTCTTCTAATCTTATACCGGGTGTCCCAAAAAAAAGTACTCCGGTTTGATTTATAATAACTTCTAAACAAGTAAAGCTACCAAACAGAAATAACTTGCATTAAATAGAGGAAGGACGAACTTAGATTTTGATATATTACAGTTGCAATTTACTTAAAAATTCACGGAGATATTAATGTTCAAAATCGGGACCATATTTTGGGATGTGTCTAAACTTAGCGAAAATCGGCATATCAAATATGAACTCCAGCGTATGTTTGCTTAATGACATATCAGGCTAACTTGTATTTCAGCGAATTGTCGTTAGGGTTTGTAAAGGATATGGTGTAGATTTAGACATCTTATATGTAAGTCTTAGCTCATTGTTTCCAGAAATATGAACGTTTGAAATTGTGCAAGTATTTAATAGGTTTTACAAACTTAAAGGTACACGAAAGACCATGCAAGGCAGGCGCTTAAATTTTTCTTAAATAGCCTTACTATTTTTTATGTTTTTCATGGGTTCAAAACAGAGTTGATTATTTCTCGGTTAGAGCAGGATGAATATTATTCTAATTAATGAAGGAAATAATATTGATTTTTGCAAATACACATCACAGTATCAACGCTACTATTTTGTTACGTTTTGTTCCAAAAATGTTGGATGTCTCTGGGGAGTTGCTTGTTATTTCTTATGGTGTTGTATGGTTTGATTGTGTTTCATTCTCAGTTTATTCTGAACTTGCCAAGATAAAGAAAAAGCAAAAGAGTTTGGGTGTTCTTAACAAGATTTTAAAACGTTGTAGAAGTTAGAAGAGCTTCACAATTTCATTGTGACAGCATGCCCTAATTGCGAACTACGAACGATCCATGACGATTCTTCGCGATGCAGTGCTCATGAAATAAGGAAACGTATTCGTGCTAGGAACACACGCGGATTTCGGACGAATAAATCTTGCTTGTATTTTGTATATAATAATACTTTGTTTCATAATAAACAATTTGTCAAGTGTCATTTATTTACTGGTAATAGTGCATGTTTTAGTCGGGCAAGTCTTGATTAATATTTGTCAATATTTGATACGCCGTTTTTTGCATATTTCAGACACATCCAGAAATATGCTCCCGATTTTGAACATTAATATATCCGTGAATATTTAAGTGAAATGCAACTGTAATATATCAAAATCTAAGTTAGCCCTTCCTCTATTTGATGCAAGTTATTTCTCTTTAAAAGCTTTACTTGTTTAGAAGTTATTACGAATCAAACCGGAGTACTTTTTTTGGGACACCCGGCATATATATATATATATATATATATATATATATATATATATATATATATATATATATATATATATATATATATATATATATATATATATAT